TCTTCAGTGTCACATGATCCTTCAGAAATCATTCTAATATGCTGATTTGCTGCTCAAGAAACATTTATTAGTATTATTATCAGTGTTGAAAACTGTTTTTTTTTCTGCTTAATATTTTTGTGGACACTGTGATACATTCTTTTGTAACAATGTAAAAATCCTTACTGTCACTTTTGATCCAATTAATGCATCCTTGCTTAAAAGTAAAAGTCTCTTTTACAAATTTTTTAGTGATATCACATATTTTCTGTTTTATTCATTGCAAACCCACTTTTCTTGTCTAAAGAATAATTCTTACAGTTTTTAGTAAGGTTTACACTTAAGGGGGAAAAATATTTGCAAATGGGATAAAAACAAGCCCATATATATATATATATATATATATATTTATTTATTTATTTTTTAGTCCAGATATATTTTTAGAAACAAGTGTATTCTATATTATTCATTAGTATTACATTACTTATTGAAATAGATTAAAAATAAATATATTAAACTATGAATTAAATATATGAATAAATTATTAATTCTACTATTAATTATAAATGTAAATAATACCTATAATTTATATACAAATATCTTAATATTTATATTATATTAATACATTATTTACAATATTTATCTTACACACTTTTGCTTCTAAAATAAATCTCGGATGTTTAGATATGAAGTTAAACAAAATCCACCAAACAATAGAACACAAACCGTGAAAGCCAGTGTGTTGTAAGCTCAAGAACACAAATAGAAGACATTACAAAAGATCCTCATGGCGTTGTGCGCACTGTTACGCCTCCAGACCAGAAGGGAGACGTCAATTACCCAGCAGAGCTGAGAATGACATCACTCGCATGAGTAACATACCTACACCCAACATTCGGTCAGAACAACCAGTGTTCACTGGTCACGACTGCAAACTACTTCCACAAGAACACAACTTTACTCAATAATTAACTACACTGAGGGACGTTAATGTGATGGCATGAAAACATAAACACAATCAATAACCTGCACCAGTTAATCATTCACACTAGGACCAGGACCACGTGTTAGGAAAGTAACCAGGGTCCACTGTAAACACACGTGACATTGCTGACAGCAGATCTCACCAGATTGTGGCTCTTCGCTGAGATGATCTTCGTGAGTTCAGGGTCCCACAGAACCAGATCGGCGTCTGAACCCACTGCGATGCGGCCCTTGCGCGGGTACAAGTTGAAGATCTTAGCGGCGTTGGTGCTGGTGACGGCCACAAACTGATTTTCGTCCATTTTTCCAGTTACCTACGAACGAGGGGGACCACAGGGAGAGATGACAGTTTGTCTCGGCTGTGTTTGTGTTGAGTGTGCTTGTCTGCTCAGCTGGGACTATTTAGGCTCACATGACCACTGACTGATTTTGTTTATATGATTGATGGAAGTGTAGATGCTGCACTGTGGTAGCTTGTGATTAAATGTCTTCTCTTATTATTTGCAGACTAGTATTTCTGCCTCACCACACATTTGTCCCAGATGATGGACATCCTTTCCTCAGTGCCATTGGTTCCTTCAGGGATGAGGGTAAAGTCATCTTTACCCACAGCTCTCTGGGCGGTGTTAAAGGTGCAGTGAGCGCTTCCTGTTACCTGCAGATCCCCACTGAAGCATGAAGTGAATGAGGAGACAATTTTCAATTTTTCCACTTAGCGAACCCTTTTTCACAATTGTGTCCTGTTTAAATGAAAACTTTCAGAGCAAACATGGTCCCAAAAAATCCCACTTTTTTAATTCACACTGTTTTTGGTCCTAAAAGTGCTTCAGATTTTATTTTATTTTTTTATTATTTTTTTATTATTATTATTGTTGTTGTTGTTGTTGTAAATAATAATGTGTATTTATTAAAATGATTTAATATTATATTTTGGATATTCCACTGGATATCTGGATATTGTTGTTATTATTATTATTAGTAGTAGAAGTAGAAGTAGTGGTAGTAGTAATATCATAATTATTTGCACTATTAAATTGATAACAATAAAATTAAATACTAAAAAATATTATGATATAATAATTATTAATATAATAAATTATTATTATTATTATTGTTGATGTTGTCGTCTTTCAATTAATACTACTACTACTACTAATAATAATAATAATAAAAATAGTTGTTATCATTAATATTGCTAATAAAAATACATACAAAAATACAATAATTTTATCATTGCTTCACTTTGAATATTATTTTGTAGTTAATTTATTTTGTTATAAAATTATAAATAATCATTACTAATAATTATTAATATAATAAAATTAATATACAATTAATAATATTAGTAATATTTATAATAAATATAATGTATATAATAAATATAATATGTAATAATAATAACGATGATTATGAAAATAATAATAGTTATATTGCTAATGAAAAACAAAAACAAAACAATAATTTCATAAATGTAATCAATAATTCTTCACTTAGAATATAATTTTGTAATATATATTTTGTGTACTCAATTTTATAATTAAAACAATAATTATAATAATTAATATTGCTAGTAAATATACATACTAAAATACAATAATTTTTATCATTATTGCTTCACATGGAATATTATTTTGTAATTAATTTATTTTGTAATAAAATACTATAATAATTATTAATATAATAATATTAATAATATATTATGTATTATAAATATAATGTATATAATAAATATCATATGTAACAATAATAATAATAATTCTTATTATTATTCTATTGCTAATAAAATATAATAATAATAATAATACTTGAGTATTATTGAAGTATTCTTGAGATAAGAAATTAGTATTTCATTACTTAACACATCTTTAAAAGTAAACCATATTACAGACTCCTAAACTTAAAGTCAGCTCTTCAGTTCACTTTAAATTTGTCCGAGGTAATATGGAACTTGCATTTTTTAACAACTCTCATGCCACAAAAATAAACCAGTTTCACTTCTCATGGTACGCTTATTACAGGGCTCCACCACTGAAACGAATTAAATTAGTAATGCATACTACTAATAAACAGACTTTGAGTGCTCTTACCATGACAGCAGTGAGTTGAGATAGTCTGGTGTTGTGGGATCCGGGCTCAAGGGTGGGGACGTGACATAGGTGGCAGCCTTGGCCCAGTTCTTGCTCCAATAGTGCGAGCCGTCCGTGCCAAGACTGGCTGTGATTGGCTCTCCATACACAACGGTGCCTAAATGGTTCAAAGATACCAAATTAGGAATAGGCATATATAATTTCACTGTAATTCCCTCGCCGTTATTCTGGAGCCCGACCACCATGATGTCATTTCTTGCTGTCTAGCCAAGAACAGCTGAGTCATAGATGCTGTCTTATTATTTTTTGCAGGACTACAGTGCGTCCATTCTCATAAAACCTGCCTTGCTTGTTCAGACTTAATAATAATACCTCATTTTAATGGCACGGAGGGAGTGGAGTTAGATCAAACCGCCTCAGAATGTTCTTCCATGTTAGTAAATCAACCTTGAATGTTTCCACTAGGTTTGGATCCATTCCAGACTTGATTGATTAAACAAAAGGCAGGCCTTTCCTAGAGTCACCATATTGAAAATAGAGTTCTCCATTTTGGCCCTCACCTTTCTTCCTGGCCTGGGCAATGACATCAGCAGCACTCTTGCTCATCACCTTGGTGATGTAAAGAGGGCAGTTGGTCTGATTGGCCACTGTTACGGAGCGGTTCACTGCCTCCGCCTCCAACTAAATGATCAATAAAACCAATTCAGTACAAATGTTTTCTTCAACAGAACTTTGGAAACATGGGAAAATAGACGTCTTTTCCCAGAATTCACTGCCATTCACCTCTTCTGGTCGACTGAGGACATGACCCTCTGGTCCAGTGATACCCAACTCCAAAATCCTGCGCTGCTCCTGTTGAAAGAAAGACAGAAAACGAGCAGGATGGGAAGATAAGAGTAGCATGAGATGGCTGAATCCGTAAATCATGATGTCATAGTCCCAATATACTGTCTATATTAAAAATGTCTTCATTACAAAGAGTTTGCTTATCTTGATCATGATAAATACACATAGCCGCGAGCCAAAAGTCATCTGCAATTAATTATATCAAGCTCATGTAGGAATATTTGCTTTGGATTTGCTTGCCAGTATAAAGTCTAAGCGTTCATTGTGGAGCATATGTTTTGATTTAACATCTCCAAACAGTTTATTGTTGATAGTAACTCTGAGTAATGGAGCTCAGTGCTGGACTGTGTAGCCCCTCTGAAGATCTCACCTCGACTATGATGTCTCCGTTCTCAGCGTGGACCTGAGCAATGGCCCCGAGGTCCCGGATGACACTGAACACTTCGTAGATCTGCACACAAACACACATTCGAAGTCACACAAAGGCTGACAATTAGAAAGGAATGGCAAATGACGAAGCATGCTTAAAACAGATGTAACGGTCATCGGCAGACTATTCAAGCATCATCTGTTTATACATTGCCAAGGGACTCTTTTTAGATTTCCTTTATTTTCTTTTTTTCTTCTCACAATTGTCATTAGGAATTATAACATAAACACCCAACCCCCCAAAACTTGGTACTGTGCCACCTAAAAGTGGTACCATGGTACTGTGATGGTAACAGATGGCAGAATGTTTTGTAATTTTAAAATTCATTTTGATTGCTGAATTCCATGTTATAAAATGGATAGTTCCGGTCCTTCTGATTGGTTGAGCTGCGTTCGAAGCTGTTGTAAATTACTCTACAAACATACACCTTTTGTTTACGTCTGTGTGTTATTCGGCAACTACTTTGTTGCAACCACAACCATTTCTGAGAAACTACATTGTTTGGTGGAAGAATAATGTTTTTATTAATATCATTACACTTTATTTGCTGTTATATTTTGTGAAACCTTACTACGTATATGGAATAACTGTTTTATTATTCCGTTTAACTCCGCTTTGCGTCGTGCCTAACAACGCCCCTTAGCTGTTATAAATTCACTGTAAAACATGGCTTCACGGGGCTTATTGCTTTATTTGACCGATCAGAATCAAAGAATTATCTGGGAGAATGAATAAAATAAATAAATAAATATTTTTGCTTGTTTGTTTGTAAATGCATAGTTATAGGGCTGCACGATTAATCGAATGCGATTGTCATGCGCATTTTGTTAGTAAAGCCGGTTCTGTAATCAGCAGTAAATCATCATCACGTGCTTTCAGATGTAGCAGCATTTACTACACAGAGCCGTAGTTCACTGACATGCTACGCAAAAAAATCGCAGACGATTTTATTGCGCGATTATGAAATCGAAGAAATCGTTCGCTCCATCTGAAAGCATGTGAAAATACCACATTTAATAACTTTTACTCCAAACTCACTTCATAACGTCAGTCAAGTGTTTGAAATAAATCCTTCCGTGCTTCTCTGAAAGATACGCATGACAATCGCAGCTTCTGTCTAATCGCGATTTCGATTCCGTTTCGATTTATCGTGCAGCCCTACATAGTTAGGCAAAGTCACAGTTTTTGTAAATGAATAGTCAGGATTTCTTTCCAGAGGAAATGTCACATTAAACTTAGTCTCAGCCTCAGACGTCACTGAGGAACACTACAGGAGTTTCGAAGTCGTCATCTGATTGGTTGAATTATACAGGATTTCTGGGAGACGTGTGTGTCGCGTTCTATAACGTTCCACCTGGAAACAAAGATGCCGTAACGGCAAACCACCTCATGAAAGAAGAAAGCAGTCGTGTTTACAACTGTGACGACGAGCGCTTATCAGGATCAGCTAAACGCTGGATTTTCAAAAGTATGTGAAATATTTAAAGTTAGCGGCACAGAATCTTTAAAATACGGTCGAGAGTTTTACACTCTGGTCTGTTATTGTGGCTGGCGACATTTCCACGCCCCGAAATGTGACGCTGAAATGAAACGAACTGTGATTTTGTTGTCTGACATGTCGGTCAAACGGCCTCATGGGCGGGCTTTGGCCAATGAAAGCTGCCATGGATTCCAGACCTTCAGCCGTCAGTCTGAAGGTCTGGCTATGCGAGACTACATTAAACTGCAAACTCATAAGTAAATAAGTAAATAAATAAATAAATGTACTTAAAAATACCATGGTACATGTCTAAAGCCATGATACTTTTTGTAAGTGCATAGGCAGACAAAGTCACATTAAACTGCAAAATAAAACACTATATAAAATAAATATTTATAAAATATATTTATTTTTACATAAATATATAAAATAATATATAAAGATATAAAATATATTTTAGGACCATTCAAAAATTTTGCATTATTGGTCCAAAAAACAGGCTTAATTTTCATTGTTTTTATTTCTCTCTTTTGATTTTATGGTTAAATATGACCACGGTGTGTTTTTGACAGGTTTCATGAGACTGATTGTAAGATTCAAGTAGGTGCTGTAGGTACATCGCATGGAGGAAGCCATACCTGGGAATCAGTGAGCTGGAAAACATCTTTGTAAGCCAGGTAGACGAGGAAAGAGTTAACGCCTGCACACAAAGACAGGGGATGAAATTACAGAGGGAAATTAAGGAGTCCGTGAGACATTAGTGAAACAGCGCAGCAGCAGAATTCCTGAGCGATGCAGTATTCACTAACTCTGCTGGGTTTGTACAGCAGATACAGATGTTGACAGCGGTTTACCGTGATCTTTGACGAGCGCCTCCATCTCCTCTAGAACACCCTTGTGCCATTCAGTGATGTCCACATGAAGAGAATAATCACAGCATGCTTTGCTATCCGCCCATTCCCGCCACTGATTGAAGGCCGAGATCAGAGTCATCCCGGGTTCAGGAACCACATGATCAACTGTTCACACACACACACACACACACACAAATGAAGTGGTTAGGCAGATATTAAACAACTCCTACATATTAATAAGTACTTCAAATCAGTTGATAATGCTGCTCTGAAATGAGGACAATGAAGATGTTAAAACAGTCTCTTGTGTTATTTTAAGCACACTGTCTCCATCCTGTCTGCACTGAGGTCAGACACTTTCAATGACGGCTGCATCATAAAGAATACAGGTGCCTCAGCAAAACATTACAGCTTTCATAACACTTAGGAAAAGGTAGCATAGTTCTTGAAAAGCAACTCTAACCATAGTTTAAAGGGATAGTTTACCCAAAGATGAAAATTTGTAACCAAACAGTTGATGGTAGCCATTGACATCCATACTGTATTATGGAATAAAATACTACCGAAATCAATGGCTACTAGCTACTGTTTGGTTACCAACATTCTTCAAAATATCTTATTTTGTGTTCAACAGAAGAAAGAAAACATAAGTTTGGAACAACATGAGGTTAAATAATGACAGCTTTTTCATTTTTGGATCAACCATCCGTTTAACTGTGTTATCTATATTAAGACTACAAGCAAATGGGAGAAACTGTAAGTTTTGTTTGATAGACCATTGCTAGATGGTTGCTGTGGTATTGTCGTGGTTGCTAGGGTGTTTCTAGGTGGTTTCTATGGCATTTTGGGTGGTTGCTATGGAATTGCTTACTGGCCCAAGTCTCTATGATTATCTGGTCCCTAGATATTAGCGGTTACTAAGTGTTATGAGTAGTGTTTATTGCATTACTATGCATTTGCTCAGGTGTTGTGGGTAGTTGCCAGGCTGTTGCTAGGTGTTTGCTATGGCATTTTGGGTGGTTGCTAGGGCATTGCTTACTGGCCCAAGTCTCTAGGTGCGTCTCAATCAGCTCCCTTGTTCAGTAGTAAGGGCACTGATCAGGGATTCGGCCATTTCAAAGGGCTGTCTCAATCGCGAAATCCTTCCAGTGCACTGGAATGTTCGCTCCCTGAAAAATCCCACAATGCACCGCAAAACCTAGGGAGCATCGGCGCTCATATGCTCCCGTACCGGAAATAACATCACGTTTCTGAAGCGTGAAACATAAACCACACGAGTCAACGAGATAAATAAAATGACACGCAATAGAAGATTTGAAAAGATGGACCGTTTTTTAGTATATTTCAACATAAACACACATCGCTAGACAGGTAATGAACACATCTAATTAACATTTATAATTAATATTCGACTGAAATGTTGTAAGAACATGTAACAGAACGATGTGTTTAAAGAGAATAAAAAATAATATCAAAAAGAGATCGTCCTGTCTGTTGTTTATTAATTAATGCGGTGACGTTCTACAATGTTGTCCGTTGGCGCTGTACATAGTCATGTCACTGGAATTCGAGTGATCACTGTCCCAACGTGCAGTGAGTCAGGGAACTTACCAGTGACCGAATTCGTGTACACGATATGCTGATTCACGAGCTCGGGAGCTAGGGAGCTGATTGAGACGCACCCTATGTCTGTAAAGGCGAATATTTTTTGTGTGTTTGAAGAGCGGAGAAGAGTCTAAGCTTTTGCCGTCTAGTTGTAGCCAATAGGCCTTTACTTGTGTACGTTTTAAATATAGCGCTTCATCGTTTATATCATGATATTTTGGCCAAGTGTATTAAACGACAAGAAAAACTAAGCACCAATATAGCTACAATAAAAGTTATAACCTGCAAGTTGATGAAAGCGTTTAATGCGATGCACTCAGATACAGCCGTTCTAATGACAGACAAAACAGATCTCCGTCATTCGTTGGTCAAAAACCAACTCCATTTGATCTTGATTTTCATAAAATGTTAAGTGTCTGATAAAGCCACAATACCAACTCTGACGACGCAATGCTTAATTGCTTAATTATTGAAAAAAAAGTTTTCCCTTTCTATCTTTGTTTTTTTCCCCCTATATTTCAGTTCTTAGTGGTGTGCCATGGGTTTTTTTATTGATCAAAACTGTACCACACAGAAGGCTCCAAAGCAAAAATCTGATGATCGAATGCACCTGTCACCTATTTATACCCGTGTGCACGGGGAGTTGCTCAGCATGCAAAATCCACTAGCCTTGGCGTTTTCAGAGAGGATTCGGGCTCCCAAGTAAGACCCCCCCCCCCCCACTGTATTATGGAATAAAATACTACCGAAATCAATGGCTACTAGCTACTGTTTGGTTACCAACATTCTTCAAAATATCTTATTTTGTGTTCAACAGAAGAAAGAAAACATAAGTTTGGAACAACATGAGGTTAAATAATGACAGCTTTTTCATTTTTGGATCAACCATCCGTTTAACTGTGTTATCTATATTAAGACTACAAGCAAATGGGAGAAACTGTAAGTTTTGTTTGATAGACCATTGCTAGATGGTTGCTGTGGTATTGTCGTGGTTGCTAGGGTGTTTCTAGGTGGTTTCTATGGCATTTTGGGTGGTTGCTATGGAATTGCTTACTGGCCCAAGTCTCTATGATTATCTGGTCCCTAGATATTAGCGGTTACTAAGTGTTATGAGTAGTGTTTATTGCATTACTATGCATTTGCTCAGGTGTTGTGGGTAGTTGCCAGGCTGTTGCTAGGTGTTTGCTATGGCATTTTGGGTGGTTGCTAGGGCATTGCTTACTGGCCCAAGTCTCTAGGTGCGTCTCAATCAGCTCCCTTGTTCAGTAGTAAGGGCACTGATCAGGGATTCGGCCATTTCAAAGGGCTGTCTCAATCGCGAAATCCTTCCAGTGCACTGGAATGTTCGCTCCCTGAAAAATCCCACAATGCACCGCAAAACCTAGGGAGCATCGGCGCTCATATGCTCCCGTACCGGAAATAACATCACGTTTCTGAAGCGTGAAACATAAACCACACGAGTCAACGAGATAAATAAAATGACACGCAATAGAAGATTTGAAAAGATGGACCGTTTTTTAGTATATTTCAACATAAACACATCGCTAGACAGGTAATGAACACATCTATTTATCATTTATAATTAATATTCGGCTGAAATGTTGTAGGAACATGTAACAGAACGATGTTTTTAAAGAGAATAAAAAAATAATATAAAAATTTGATTGGTCCTGCCTGTTGTTTATTAATTCCAATGATGACGTTCTACTATGTTGTCCGTTGACGTTGTATGTAATCATGTCACTGGAATTCGAGTGATCACTGTCCCAAAGTGCAGGGAGTCAGGGAACTTACCAGTGACCAATTTCGTGTACACGATCTACTGATTCACGAGCTCGGGAGCTAGGGAGCTGATTGAGACGCACCCTCTATGATATTCTGGTCCCTAGATTTTAGCAGTTGCTTAGTGTTTTGAGTAGTGTTTAAGAATTACTAAGCGTTTGTATGGGTGTTGTGAGTAGTTGCTAAGTGGTTGCTATGGCATTGTGGATGGTTGTCAGGGTGTTGCTAGGGCATTACTAGATGATTGCTATGGTTTTGTGGGTAGCTACAAGGGCATTTACTAGTCTTCATGATAAACACCAAAGCTTTTGAAAGGGTGTTGTGGGTGGTTGCCCAGGGTGTTGCTAGGACATTTTGGGTGGTTGCTAAAACATTGCTAGGGTGTTGTTATGGTATTTTGGGTCGTTGCCAGGGTGTTGCTAAGTGATTGCTATGGTGTTGTGGTGGTTGCTAGAGCATTGCTAGGTAATTGCTATAGTGGTGTGGGTGGTTGCTGTTGCATTCTTGGTGGTTGCAAGGGAGTTGCTAAGGCATTATTAGATTGTTGCTATAGTGTTGTGGGTAGTTGTTAGGGCATTTACTAGGTGGTTGCTATACCATTGTCGCAGTTGGTATGGTCTTGTGGGTGGTTGCTAAGACATTGCTTACTGGCTCAAGTCTCTGTGATTGTCTAGTCCCTAGATATTAGTGGTTGCTAAGCTGTACCCAGTAGCGTTTAACACATTATTATGTGTTTGCCCAGGTACCGTGGGTGGTTGCTAGAACATTGCTAGGTGGTTGCTATTGTGGTGTGGGTGGTTGCTATAGCATAGTTGATGGCTGCCAGGGTGTTGCTAGGGCATTATTAGATGGTTACTATGGTGTTGTAGGTAGTTGCAAGGGCATTTGCTAGGTGGTTGCTGTTCTGAGTAGTGTTTTACTATGTGTTTTCCAGGTGCTGTGGGTGATTGCTAGGGTGTTGCTAAGAAGTTGCTATGGTGTTGTTAGTGGTTGATAGAGCACTGTTAGGTGGTTGTGTGGCATTGTTGGTGGCTGCCAGGGGGTTGCTATGGCATTTGCTATGTGGTTGCTATGGCACTGTGGATGATTGCTAGGGCATTACTAGATGGTTGCTACAGTGTTGTGGGTAGTTGCTAGGACATTTCTATGTGGTTGCTATGGCATTGCTAAGTTGCTGCTATGATGTTCTGGGCAGCTGATATGCTAATCTTGGATTCAAACTCGTCACACTAAGGACAGTTGGACACATACTGATCATGGTGGTTCCTCCAGCCAGCGCAGCACGGGTGCCTTGATAGAAATCATCCGCAGCAGTCATGCCCCTGTCAGGCATCTGGAAGCGCGTGTGCACATCAATGCCACCCGGCATCACCATACGCCCATGAGCATCGATGGTTTTCACCCCGCCAGGCACTATCAGATTCTCTCCAATCTGCCTGTAAGTAAGAGTGATGTATGAAAATGCAATATGAGTTATACAATATGAGCAATCTTAATTTAATTTCAAGGGCCAAATTCCAAAGGCTATTTCATTATCTCTTTATGTGTCATATGATATAAGGGCATATTATGCACACATTAACCTTATAACCTCAGACTACTAAAGGAGCAGTTCACCTAATATATTTTACACTCACTTGATCAGGCCATCTTCCATATAGATGTCGGCACAGAACGACTGATCATCATTCACAATCTTCGCCCCTTTAATCAAGAGACGGTCACTCTGTAACGACAGATAAATGTCGCTTTAGTATTCTATTGCAGTGCAAGTGCAAATTGTCTGTTCACCTTGGGACAGCACTAAAGAACACTACTGCAAGGTGAAGATGGTTTTTGAAGCTGTGACTAAATATAGACTCAATGTAAATATAGACTCAAGTAAAATACAAATTTATCCAGGAGCCAGTTAATCAGAGCTTGTAAGGCAGTACTATAGCGTCACACACATTCTTTATAAGAAGCATCAGCGAATTCTGTGGTCTTTACAATTATAAACACATGTTCACCATGGAACACTTATCTGTCACTGCACTACAACGTGCTCAGTTGAACCTGGAAGACTGGTTCACCCTTACAATCTGAGCTGATTGCTATTTCTAGTCTAATGTGTACTGCATTAGTAAAGGGGATTTTGATACATCTCAATTACTCAAATCTTTTAAAGCTGTTCAACAAAATGATTAATTCTGATTAATTTACTGATTCATTCAGTGAGCATTTCTATAGGTTACCTTATGCTGCAACAAGAGAATCTTTTGTGTTATGAGTGAGTTACTGAATCATGCACTCAACTAATTTGATAAAAACACAAGGCCTTTCACCCAAGAAGTCTTATTAATGTATGCACATTTACAAATCTACTAAGGTTTACTAAATAATTGTGTATGGTAATTTTTGACAAATTTATACACATTCAAAAATTCTTCTGTCACCTTTATCTCGTTTTGAACAAGACTGACTCGCATGCTGAACTGAACAAACTACATGCAGATACTCATTTTCAGTGTATTAACTGTTTAGTTCGTTCACAAACGGAATGTTACAGTTCATTCATAAGTCTTGGTCTAATTAAAAACACTGACTCATTCAGTGAAGGGGGCATGTTCGTTCAGTAGGTTCAACCAATAAAATTATCCTTCACAGCCCACACAAGAATCCTATTGGTTTTACTATAGTCAGTCTTTGAAGACAGGAAAGCAATCACAATTCAGTGAATTAAAAATATGAGACCGTACAAGGAAGTGAACAAGAATGAATCGCTACTTATGTTCTTATTATCTAAATACAGACAATAGTTTTATTGTAAATATATATTTATTCATTTATTTACAAAATAAAATATATTCTATTGAATAAATATTGATTTATATATTTGCTTTAAGTGTTTATTTAATACAGAAAGACGATAAATATTTAAAATAAAATTTTCATCTTTCTGTAGTAATTCAATAAATAATTACTTAATAAATAATAAACATTAATAAATAAATCATATTTAATACACAAATACTGAAGCAAACATTGCATATAAACACTGAAGCAAATAACTATTTAAAAACTATTTATTTAAACTAATGCATTTATTTGTGGGGGGGTTTTTTACAGTAGGTTTGATTCTGAAAAACCTAGAAACTGTAAACAAGAATGTAAGTTATTAAGTAAGTAAGTTATTAATAAGCAATTATGTAACAATACTAGTAAGTGGTTCATGTGAAAATAAGTTAATTTAACTGGTAATTAATGAATAAATATTTAATTACTCACATTACTTAATCAATTATTTAATTGCTACAGAAATATGATGAATATTTATAATAAAACTTTCATCTTTGTGTAGTAAATAATTGTAATGAATAAGTAATGAGTAATGAATGAATGAATGAATAAGTAAATAAATACATTTTTGAAATATTAAATTATCATCTGTATATAGAATTTTAAAAAATCTGATTCATTCAGTGAAGGGAGTGTTTGTTCAATAAGCTTGTTCAACATGCTATTGATTTGTGCTATTTACACATTTTGGAGGCAGGAAAGCAGTCTCATGCTTCAGTGAGTAAAATATACGACAGTACAATAAAGTGAACAAGAACAAATTGTTAATTAAAAAAAAAAAAAATTCAGTTTTTCCTGAATTAGCTGCATACTTAATACATTTTCCAAGCATTGAGTGAATAAGACGAAAATAGTATGTTTTTATCTTTCCCTACAGCATCATGCCTCCCTACAGTATGAAGGTTAAAGTTGGCTAGACACCCCGGTATAGCCACCCAGGAATCTCTCTACATTCAGGGCCCCAGAAGAACAGCCATTTTTCTGAAAGGGGAAAGGTGGAACAATTCCAGTCACAAGGCTCTCTGCACCGCAAGGGGACAATGGCGGCTCTGTCTGCGTTTATGCCTCTTTGCGTGCTTGTTGGCAGCCCAGCAATATGAGGCCCTGGGTGGCTTCCCAAGCCCAGCTCTGATTCACTTAGCGATGAAAGAAATGACTCCAGTGACCTGACATCTCCTACTACACATCCCACAACATTATTAACAAGAAAACAACACCAGATACGGTTTTACTGAAACCAAATGGTGCTTCATTAGCTTTCATATACCTTTAGTCAGTTTAATTTATAGACAAACCAATACCAGCTTCTACAGAAGAAGAATGCCTTCTACTTTTTATTTCCAGATTTTTGCCGAGGGGCTTCTGGGACCTTGCAAGTGGCTTTGGCGGTCAGCCACACTCAACAGCTGCTTCATAACATGCATTACATAACCCAGACAATCACTGCCATCCATTTCCTCAGTCTCCGTACACAAACTGACCAATCAGAGCCATCGACATTGGGCTAAAGTATTATGACATCATCAAAAAGGTTGCAAGGTTAATTAGAGGAAGTCTGAAAAAACTGTGGACTCTATGAACTGAACTAGTGCTTGTTTTGGACCTTTTCCAGAGAGAAAGTGCTGGATACTTAGTGCATGAGAACACTGACAGGAAGTCTTCAGGTCAGCGTGTTTATTTTACTGGTTGCCATAAATGATAATGGAAGTTTAAACCGACACGGTGAAATAACACTTTAATGTCCATGTACATCAAAAGTATTGTATGAACCATAAAGGACGTCACATTTGAGACCTGAAGAAATATGTTGATGTTATGTGCTGATTTGCACTAAATAATAATCCAGATCGACTGACTTCCAGTCTTTGGGTTTAACTGCTTGCAATTCCACCCTTCAATTGTTTAGAATCAGATTTAGTTGAGCCAGATTCTAGCTGTCAGGTTGATCCGTATATGATCCTCTTAAAGGAAAACTGAATATGTGGCTTGTCTGTTTGCGTGCTTGGTGCCTTTTTCCCCTTTGAGGCGCAAACATAGCCGTTTGGTAAGTCGTTATGAATGGAAATCCTGTATGTTATTTGGCGGGTAAGAAAACATGGTCCTGGCAGACTGCTTGGTACGAGTCAGAGAGGATATTGTGCTTTGTGCTGGGGGTGAACACGAGGTACAACAGCAGGTCAGCAGTGGTTTCTGGGACAGATCACTGGGTTGCACTGGAGCTGCTGCGGTTGCCATGGTAACTGTGCTGAGGAGGGGTTTTATTGGAATCACAGCATTTTACGCCGTCACATTCAAAAACGACAAAAAACATCGAAAAGTAAGATGTAGTTTTATTTTTAATAAATATTTAATTCCTTATAAATTTTTGATTATTTAAGAATTTATTTGTTTGTTTTTTTATACATTTCTTACATTTCTACATTAAATAAAGATGACATTTTATTTGATTTTTATATTTTTATTTTTTTATTTTTTATTTTATTAATATTTATTTATTTACTTTACTAATGTAATTTACCACAAAAGATGATATTTTAAAACTTTGATATTTCTATAGTAATTAAATAATTAAGTAACACACACACACATATATATATATATATATATATACATACATACATACA